ATTATAACTGATGACTTTAGCATGCTGTTTATATTTTAATCTATAGCACAGTTTCCATAGCACAAGAGTAAAAAGTACATTTCCCTTTGAAAATCTGGTGGAGTAGAAGTATAACCTAAAATTGAAATAAAGTAAAGTAAAAGTACCTCCAAAAACGAACAGTACATGAGTAAATGTATTTAGTTACTTTCCACCACTGTCTATTAGAGTGTGTATTTTAATGCAGGTTTAACATTTCTACACTTAAGTAAATAAGTGATCCAGAGGACTCTTGCTTCCTTGAAGCTGAGTTATTACTTTTTTCAGTTATTTATTTTCCAGAGCTGCACCAGTGACGGTGTTTGATGTGTGTTTGAGCTTACCTATTAATCAGACATGTTTTCCCCACAGCCAGATCGCCCACAACAATGACCTTCGAGATTTTAAATCTGCTGAGAGGAATAAAAGAAGACAGCACCAAGTGAATAAATGCCACAAAAACACCAAATCCAGTATCATCTGGTTGCTGGTTCCTGCTCTCACCCCACAGTGCCGGTGCGCTGCTCCTGGCAGGCCGTCTTCACTTTATTGTTGAAATCGTCCTTCGTGTGAAGAGCTGCCTCTTTCTTGAAATACTACAAGAGAAAAAAGGGGACTTGTGAGGTTGTTTTAGACTGATGGTGGACAACTAGGCTTTGATAAGAGTAGATGATTTTACCTGAGGGAGCTGAGCGATGATGCGGTCCCTTCGGACAGGAGGAAGAACACTCATGGCTGAAACTCGGACGGACATGAAGCTTTGTGGTAAATGTTTAGCACAGGGGCATGTGATGAGCTGGACAGAGAGAGAAAGACAGCAGCATAAATAATCTGCCATTTTAACTAGTTGAATCTGTTTCTTTATAATATTTAGACTGCAGTGAATGATTTTATGGCCCAATCATTATATACATGAGACCTGCTGCTCATTTTCCTGTTTCTATGGAGAATAAAATTTACAAGATGTTAAATGAATGCTTTTCTCTGTTTTATAGCATTACATATAAATGTAAATTGAGTATCTAATAACTTTTTTGCCAAACCAACAGTCCAAACCCACAGATATTAAACTTAGGTATAAAACAGACAAAAAGCAGCAGAACCTTTTGGATTCCTGAGTGAGCCTACCAGCACAAGCCCAGGGGCCCAAACTGTCAGGGTCCCCCTGGCCTTCACCTACAGAATGTTACTGAGTTGAACACATACTGACCAAGAAGAGGCTCAAATGACCACAAAGGGATGCAAAAGAACTGCAAAAGGGCCAAAACAACCACAAAGAGACACAAAACAAAAGGACAAAAAGATGCATACAAAGAAATGCAATATAACAACAATAGAAGAGGCAAAGCTGTCACAAAGTCTGTGTGTCTTGCACCTACATAGAGGAGATGGTGGGTCCTATTGCATACCTGTGCCCAGGGGCCCATTGTCTCACAATCAGCCCATGGAAATAGAGTGTTTGCCACTTTTCATTGTAACTTTGTAACAAGTAATTAATGATTAAAAGTGTTGAAAATGATCTTTCTGTCAATCTATTACATATGTTGAACTAAAGCAGAATTATGGCATAAAGAGTAACTAAAAAAAAGAGACATTAATCACTGCTTCAGTTCTACAGCTTAAACTATTAATATGAAACTACTGTAATAATTAACTGATTGTTTTTGTTTCCCTTTCAAGCTAAACCCCCCCAAACATATCAGACTGCTCAAATGTTAATATGAACTGGTTTTCGGAGTCTTCTTGAATATTAACTTGAAAATCTTCCAGTTTTTGGACTGTCGGTTGAACAAAACAGACAGCTTATCTTGCATATTGTCGGACTTCTCTTAGTCAGTATTCATTGAAATACAGAGGACTATCTCTTTGGAACAACCTTCATCCATCTCTACAATCATCATCGACATTATTGTTATTCAAAAAACATCTGAAAAGGACTCTTATTTGCAAAGACTCTTAACACCTCATTGATTTATTTGTAATTTGTTTGTGTTTGTTGTAAATTGTACATCTTAAACAATTTTGTAATACTTCTTAGTCTGGAACTTCTACCCTTTTCTTATGATTGTTGTTATTTAATAGGGGAGGTGTATTCATAAGCATTTTTTGGTTTCTGACCTCTCCTGCACAATGTTTTAACTTTTAATTTCTTTTTCCTGTATTTTCTCTACATGTATGTGCAAATAAACTAAACTAAATTTATGTATTTATTTATTTATTATTTATTTATTTATTTGATAATGAAAATATTCATTAGTTGCAGCTTCATTGTTAACTGTCCTCTGATGTTTTTGTTTTTCTGTTGTTTTGCTACAAAAATGATTTCCTCATGTGATACAAAAAGTATCTCAACTGATCTAAACTGACTGCAAAAATCTTTAATTGTATTTAAGTTTGCATACGTAATTAGTAAAGAATAAGTCACCAAAGTCCAAGTACCAAATCATTATCTTGTATTTAAAATGTTAGTTTCAAACAGCATAACAACACTTTGTATTAGTTTCTATGAATGTGGTATGAATAAGCTCATTTTCTCCTCCTGTCATCTTTATATCTATTGTATTTCCCCAGGCAACCAGAACATAGACTGTACCCCCCAAGAGTATGGACACGGTATAGACTACAGAGAGAGCCAGGCACAGCTCCAAGTCAAACAATAAAGTGTAATGAGAGAAAATAATTGTGATCCATTGTGTGGCAACATGAGCACATGCAGAGCCAGACCAGACAACTGTAATCAGAGTTGATCCACTTACTGTGTCGATCTGTTTTAATCCTCTTGTTCATCAAAGCTGCTGGTAACGTAAAAGGAGGAGAAGAGGAGAAAGAGTTCGGTTTGGTCAGACACAAAACTGAAACCAGGTCACTTTAAAACTCCATTTTGCATCCAAACACTAAGTTCAGTATCCTTTTATCTATGTAAACACACAAGTAATGAGAGATACAAGTTAAAGTCGCGCATGTGACCAAATTAAACTTTAAAAAACAGCGTGTTTGAGTTACCTCATCAACCACAGGCTTCTCTCTCCTCTGTGTTTCCGCTTCTTTTTTTCCTTCCAATGATGCTTGTTAGAGTAATGGAAACTCGTTCATGTCCATTGATAAACACTGAAGTGTGGATTTAATGTTGATCAGAGCTGAAATCGATCCACGGAAGTTGAGGAGGAGGCACAGACTGAAGCCGCAGCAGCTGCTGACTCAGATCCCTGGATTTCTTTTTTTCTTTCCTCCCAGATTTCCTCTGCTCGGTCCCCTGCTGGAGGAAATGAGGAACGATCGGAAATCAGGGGAGAATATAAATATGGATCTGAAAATGTAAAACAAATAGACACGTTATTGTTTACCCTTGTTGTATTCTTCTTCCTATCTATGCACATTTATGTATGCCTCTCTATTACACCTTTTCTTACCTCCTTATTATATCATGTTATATATAAGAATATCAGTAAAACCGTCTGCAAAAAATTCAATATAACAATTTTCTCCTACAAAACATCATAATGTTTCCCTTTCCATATGATGCAAGCGATATTTTCGTACCTGTATTTCTAAGAGGAGGAACTACTGTAACTTTTTTGTTTTATTGTTTCTTGTCGTCAGTTAAATATTTCGACAGCAGAGGGCGCTCTAATCAACAATATACTACTTGGCATTCCTTACAATAGTGAAAGACACATGTCCAAGAAAAGTCTTTAACATATCATATAAGATATACAACATTAAATAAAAATAACACTAACCTTATAATATTTATATCTTTGGTATTGTTATCATATATATTTCTTATTACTTATTGCCTTACTAATATCCTTTGTGAGGTGACAAGCAGTTATTGTTGTACAGGTTTAACATGCTGAACATGTAATGCAATATACTGTCCCCTGTATGGTCACCAAGCACTGTCCGGTTACCTGTGAGCACTACGTTTCAGAAGGAAATATTGCAATTTTTACTCTACCACATTTATGGGACAGCTGTAGATACTGGTTACTTTTCAGGTTAACATAAAAAACATGATTATGTTTTAAAATATAGCACATTGTAAAGGATTAAAGCATAGGGTCAAGTTTCTTTACGTCTACTTTAGTGGCCTGCAGCAGCCAGTTTTTAGTGTCAGCAAAAATTGATGATTATAGTCATCATGAAAGTAGACTTTATGGCAGACAAATGGCATTACATTGCACAGGTGTCTCTATTAAAGTGGCCACTGAGTGTAAAATAACAGCTTTTGGTCTCCAAACTGACCATCAATAGATCCCTTTCTAACATGACTTTGTTGTAAAAGATGGGAACAAAATCCACAGCCCTAACTGTGTTTCGAAATACATGTACAGTTGTAAAAATAACACAAGGCCTCATCTGCTACGTTTGGATTCAAGTGAGTGTTTTTCAAAGTTGATCTTTTTGGTCAGAAATTTCTTCTTTATATGTTTCCTCAACAGTGTTTTATTGCTGCTGAAGTTGCTGAACTTTAAAACAGTTTTACATAAAAAGAGGACAGTGAATTTTGTCCCCTATTTGAAAAACAAAATTTGAAACCAAAAGTCCTTTCCTCTCTCCTTTATTGTCTCACAATTCCTCAGATTATTCAAGTGACCCTTTAGAGGGTACCGACCCCTACATTAGGAACCACTGGACTAAACTACCTCACTGAATATAAAGTAGTAATAACTGATGCACACTGATGCATCACGATTAGCAATCTAATAATGTATCAGTCACATTTTTATGCAGAATGAGTATTTCTATTTTAAGTATAATTTGCCAATAATACTTTTACTCTAGTAGGATTTTTGTAATGGAGTATTCGTACATTGTTGTACTGGTACTTTTACTACATGACCTGACAAAACAGTATCTGACTTTTGCTTTGCCAGACATCTGAGGTGCGACTGTATGAATGTAAAACAGAGAGAAAAAATACACCAAACCTCCCTTCAACAGTGGAGTACATATCCCAAAAATATAAATCGACACTCCTGTGATTTTTAATACTTTTTTTTAATTTGTGGGATCACGCAATCATCCAAAATATGGGGCTCCTAAAAAACAGTCACAGTCAAATTAATTTACTGTATGTTTGTCTCAAAAATTTGACCCACCTTTCACAAAAGCATACACACATCAGTCTGCATTATATCTCTACTTCATAGTCATACATTATCCTTATCTGTGCTTTACTCTTTTTGAAAAGGCACTGTGGTAAATTCACTGCAACACAGATCTGACACTTCTGACCTCTTTCCATTTCTTTTTTCTTTTTTTGTGTGGCTGAAATAGAAAATGAAATGTTAGGTTTACAAAAGACACTGTCAGCATGTATGATTTATGGCATGTTGAGGAAATTAGCATTTTTGGTCAAGTGGTGGTGTTTACTTAAGTATTAACAATTAAAATGTATCAAAAAGGAATGCACATTTGAGTATTTACAAAAACTCTGTGTGTTCATGTTTGGAGAAAGAGAGGAAGGGGAAGATACTTTTAAAAAGGGATCTATTCTGCAAATGTACAATAGAAACAAGCAAAAAACACCATGGGGATATTCCTCTATTGCTCTACATCAAGTCTAACTACAGGTGATAATCAATATCAGTATTGATTGTGCTGCTGTCTGCTCTTTATAAAGGGTTTCTCAGGGTGTCCACCTGCTGATGAGCTCAATTATCAGACTGTTAAACGGCAGGAAGATCCAGCTTCAGCTCCACCTGTGTCAAACACCAACAGATTTCATGCCAGAACCATAAAAGGACCATAAATTCTCCTGTGTACCTGCCAACTTACCAACTCCAACTAGCATTATAGAGACACAGAGAGAGGAGAGAGTGCACTGTACACACACGTTAATTCATATGTGAGTCTGTTGCTGCTGAAATTTTAAGTCCAATGTCAGAAAACGTCAGCTGTTCACACAGGCAAGGATATACATACAAACGCTGTTCTCCATGCAAATGTTAAAGATACGGCAACATATAGCTAGGGTGTCTGCTAAGGCTGTTAGCAACAGCATAATGCAATTCCACATTTCAAATGTATGTGTTGAAGTATCTATCACACAGGTTTTTTGATGGGTTAAAGGAATAGTTTGACGCATTTGGGAATTAAGGCTTATTTATGCTCTACAGTAGATACAAATACGGACATGGATGCAGCCTCCTGTCAGTACTCTGCGTTCACGTTTTCTGTAAGCTTACGCATATGGATGAAACAGAGCAGTGCCACCAGTAATCATGGGGGCAGCATAGTGCTGTTCAAGTGTGGCACGACTGTAGGACACAACGACACCCGTGTCTTCAAACAAAACAGTTACTTTTTGATTAACAGCATCTTACAAACAAGTTTCAACAATAACATTTGATCAGGTTTGGCACTACTATTGTGTCAGGATCTGCTGTAGATTGACTTGGCAGAGATGGCTGTAACCTTGATTTTAAATGGATTAACGTATTATGCTCTGGCTACCACTAGATGGCACATAAAACTGTCGACATACAAGGACAACATGTCTAACTTGTGGAGCAATCCCAAAATGTAATGTCCTCATATGGGGATGCAGGGTTGCAGAAGGTTAAATATGGCAGAATGGAACAAACTGGTGATATAATGAAACGATTCTGTGTCCACATACCGCAATGCATTTAACGGACTCACAGAGCAGTGCCGACTACAATGCTGCCTCTGTTGAAAGGTATGTTATTATGACCTCCTCCACCGTTGACAGAGACCTTTGACTTTGCCCTCTGGTGCCATCTAGTGGCTGTATCTGTGCTAACATAAAGGACTCATGGTAGTATGTGGACAGTGACGGTTACGACATTTGAAATTAACATAATTTCATATGTCAAGGGAGTTTAAATGAGCCTTCATGCTTATTTGCTTTCTTGCAGAGATTGATGCCACTTACGTATCAGTAAACTGAAGCTAAAACAGTGGTTAGCCTGCCTAGCTTAGCAAAAAGACTGGAAACGAGGAAACAGCTAGCTGGGCTAACACCTGTCAGCACCTCTTAAGATCACTGTTATTACTTGATTGTGATAATCTGGCTAAAACCTAAGTGTGGAAAATAAAGCTGTGGTTTTACAGGATCTGCAGATTAAGGCTAGTTGTTTTCCTCTGTTTCCAGTCTTTGTGCTAAGCTATGCTCATGGGCTGCTGACTGTAGCTTCATATTTACATTAGAGACATAAGAGTGGTATTACAAATCACCTATACATGGACTATTTCCCCAAATGTTGACCTATTCCTTTACACAACACATGACACTGAAAATCTGTTTCAAATGTAAAGTAACAGTGGTAACATATCAAAGGCATGAGAGATGTCACAAGAGTTTATCCCAGAATGTTGGCTTCAGTTAAAGTGGTGTTGCATTGTGTTTTTTTTCCTGTGAAACGCCAAATTTCTGACTTCCCAACATTTCAGAACAAGACTTCATCTTGTTCCATCAAAAGTTGTTTTAGGGAGGAGTTTCCTTTGGTAGTAATACACAACCAAGGACCCAGTCGTCAAGAGGAATGGTGTCAGTTGGACAAAATGTGTAAACTCCCACTCTGAATATAAACACAGTATAGTTCTGTAGACCTTCCCCAGTCAATCAAAGGGAAACCTTTTGGAGTTGCTGTTTTGCATCCCGTTCTGTCCCACAGATTTCTGACTCCGGGGAAAGAAGTCAGCACGGATCAGGCGATAGAAATAAATCAGGATCATAATATTCATCACCATCAGGCAGATGAGGAAGAATAAGCCGTGGTCCAGCCAGGAGTAGTTGTGGACGATGTACCAGGTGAGGTAGAACTGGGCACTCAGACGAAACGTGACGTAGGTGAGGATGTTGGCGAATTTGTTGATGTAGTACAAGGAGGAAGAGTGGGCCATCGCCAGTTTCAGCAACAGTCTCAGGTGGAGGGTGACACTGTTGACCTCCACAAAGAGAGCGATCACGGCGCCGGCTACATACAGCTCAGTGTAGAGGGTGTACAGGAAACTCGAGATCACCTGAGGAGGAGACACACACATAGACAGGTGGAGGTGTTTTTACAGCTAACAGCTGATCTCCTGCATTTGATTGTCTCACTGTTTTCGCTGTATTTGCATTTGCTGTGCTTTTGTTTGCTTTCTTTTCCCTGTGAAGCATTCTGTAAGAAATGCTCCTCATAAAACCTCCTAAACCCCAATGTCACTAAAAACTCATCCCGTGCTTCAAAAAAAACTATGTTCAGACGTACAGATGTAAACTTTGGTTTAAGTATATTAAGTATTCGTTCCCGCAAGCCACACAATAACAAACAAAACAGTCGAGTCCTGGCAGACCAGCAACTCCCAGTGTGTGGTAAAGTAAAATTACTGTTTTTGTCACTGGCGTCTGGTGGCTTTGAAGAGAGTGTAAATAACAACTTCAGTTCACCATTGAAAAGAGTTGTGTGACGGCAAGGTGAAGCTTTAAAATAATCTAAATAAAGTGCACACTTAAACTGATGTTTATTTCTTTAAGGTGGTCCTTTTCTTTAGAAGGCTAAAATGTGTTTTGATGCTGCTCCTGTCAACAGCCACCAGACTCCTTTGACAGAATCGGTAATCAGCTCTGTAACCTACGTCACCACTTTGTGATAACGGCTGAGTCATTTGAAAAACACGTAAAAGAATGCAGACGCACCTGCCCTTTAAATTTTTTGTGAGAAAGCCAAAGTGTCTAAAGATATCAATATGTTCGGCTGAATTTTGAAAAAAAGATCTATATAAAATGCTTCATAAGTCTTCTCGAGTCTTGCAATTAAGCATTGCACTTACTTTAAACATCATATAGCTTTAATAGAACAAGCTGATAAACAATCAAATATACATGATCTTCTTAGACTTGACAGCACTAGTTAAAATGACCTCTAGTGCCTCTAATGCCTCTAGCACTACCGTAAGAAACCTCGGAGTAACATTTGATCAAGATTTGTCTTTTAATTCTCATTTAAAACAAACCTCACGGACTGCATTTTTTCATCTGCGTAATATTGCAAAAATTAGGCCTATCCTGACCCGAAAAGATGCATAAAAATTGGTCCACGCTTTTGTTACCTCAAGGCTGGATTACTGTAACTCTCTATTATCTGGTAGCTCTAGTAAGTCCTTAAAAACTCTCCAGCTAATTCAGAACGCAGCAGCACATGTACTAACAGGAACTAAGAAACGAGATCATATTTCTCCTGTTTTAGCTTCTCTGCACTGGCTCCCTGTAAAATCAAGAATTGAATTTAAAATCCTACTGTTAACTTATAAAGCTCTAAATGGTCAAGCTCCATCATATCTTAGTGAGCTCATAGTGCCATATTATCCCACCAGAACACTGCGCTCAGAGAAAGCAGGGTTACTCATGGTCCCTAAAGTCTCCAAAAGTAGATCAGGAGCAAGAGCCTTCAGCTATCAGGCTCCTCTCCTGTGGAATCATCTTCCTGTTACGGTCTGGGAGGCAGACACCATCTCCACATTTAAGACTAGACTTAAGACTTTCCTCTTTGATAAAGCTTATAGTTAGGGCTGGCTCAGGCTTGCCTTGTACCAGCCCCTAGTTAGGCTGACTTAGGCCTAGTCTGCCGGAGGACCCCCTATAATACACCAGGCACCTTTGCTCCCTCTCTCTCTCTCTCTCTCTCTCTCTCTCTCTCTCTCTCTCGTGTCCTATTACTGCATCTTGCAACTCGGCCATTCTGGATGTCACTAACTCGGCTTCTTCTCCAGAGCCTTTGTGCTCCACTGTCTCTCAGGTTAACTTATATCGCAGCGGCGCCTGGATAGTGTGACATGTGTGGTTGTGCTGCTGCCGTGGTCCTGCCAGATGCCTCCTGCTGCTGCTGCTGTTATCACTAGTCTTACTTCTACTGTTATTATACACATATGATTATTGTCACATATGTATACTATCAGATATTAATATATACTTTCAACATGTACCACAGTAGCCAGAATTATAATTATCATATTATTATAATATCATTACTTTCATTAATGCTGTTGTAAGCTACTGTCATTACCGTCTGTCCTGCATCTCTCTCTCTCTCTCTCTCTCTCTCTTTCTGTCTCATTTTGTCATACGGATTACTGTTAATTTATTATGCTGATCTGTTCTGTACGACATCTATTGCACATCTGTCCGTCCTGGAAGAGGGATCCCTCCTCAGTTGCTCTTCCTGAGGTTTCTACCATTTTTTTTCCCAGTTAAAGGGTTTTTTTTGGGGAGTTTTTCCTTATCCGCTGTGAGGGTCCTAAGGACAGAGGGATGTTGTATGCTGTAAAGCCCTGTGAGGCAAATTGTGATTTGTGATATTGGGCTTTATAAATAAAATTGATTGATTGATTGATTGATTGNATGTTGTATGCTGTAAAGCCCTGTGAGGCAAATTGTGATTTGTGATATTGGGCTTTATAAATAAAATTGATTGATTGATTGATTGATTGATTGATGATTTCAGCCTTAAAGTTATTTAAAGGGGACATTAAAGGAAACTGGATGGTTCAAACATAAAGACTGACCATAAAGTGATTCTTCATGATGCAGAATCACAAGTCTGCCAGCTGATCTGATGAGTTACAGTGATCCTCTGCTCAGTGGCAATATATTGCATTTATCCTAACTCAGGCTGCAAAAACAGCCTTCCACAGTCTTTGTTATTCCAGATCTGTATGTTCAGTGGGTATTTGATTAATAATTAATTACTGCCATTTAGCAGGATGAGAATATGTCTTACAACACAATCAAATTTGGAATATGTTTTCATTTTCTTCCATATTTGGTGACATTTAAAAAACAATTTTGGAGCTTAAAAGCAAATCAACAAAAATAACACCTCACTTTCTCTCTGTCTTTACACACACATATGCAGATCACCTTGAAATCAACCACCTGAGCTCCACATACCGACTCTGATATCTTATTTGAACACATGCATGCTGTCTTACCAGTGCATGATGAAGTAAGAATTCCCATGATGATGGGCCATGTCCTGTCAGGATAATATCAGCTGCATCCTGCACAAAGTATCCTGAGAGGGAAGAGACAGGAAGTAGATGAGGTTGAGAATAAAACGCATCTTGTATTTTACTGTTCATTTGATCTTTGAGTTGAGCTTTTCCTGAAAATGTTTGCAGTAATCCTAAATTACTGTAGAAAACACTTCTTTCGTCCACGTAGACTGGGCATCTTTGGATGTATAAAAGTTATCTTTTTGCTTGTGAAAAGCTTGGCATGATTTTCTCTTGCTTGCAGAAACACCTTTCCCATTAAATCTGCACAAATCTTTATATCAATTTAAACTACAGCTTGAACAGGAAAGCAAAGATGACAGAGAAGCTATTGTGGGGTTTGTACAGTTGGGCTGTTTCACCTCAATGAAGTGGCAATGTCATCAACCAAGCAGATAAAGTAAATATAAGTGCAATGGCTGAGGTGATAAGTTTAGAAAGAGCTGGCACTGCCAACTAGGTCAGACAGGTTTCCAACCACAGTGAGTTTGCTGTTTTAATGTTTCTCAACACTCCAGCAAAAAAATACACAATAAGTAAATCATTACAAACATTTAGGAACTTCAGGTCCAAAGCTTGGGTAAGCAAACTAATTTTGGCATCATAGGGCAAGCATCCCATAATAAACTTTGAGCATATTGCAATTCAAGTGGACTGAGAGAAAGCTAGACTTCTGCACCTCGTCTTGGTTCTGTTTTCAGGCTTAAGAAAATTTAACCTATCACGACAGACAGACAGATGGCAAAAGCCTGATTCAATGAGGAGAATTCTGCAGAGAAAGTTGCTATTCCAGCACTGGCAACAACTGCCTACATAGCAAAGCAACCCAAAAAAGAAAGACAGACTTATCAGAAAGAAAGTCTAAAAGAGAATCTGACAGAAAATGAAATAAAGCATGTGTCAATATCAGCAAAGTGTTTCGGAGATGGAAAAAAAAATAGTTTAGCGTCCTGCTAACCGGAGCAAAAGACTCACAGTCGCGATTTCATTTTCCAGTTCATGTAGGCCTAACTAATGCTAGCTAGAGCTTCAAATGACACTGTGTCCTCCACCTTACTACCCACCGCTACAGACCACCTCATCGGGAGGAGAGTTGGCAGCAGTCAGTGACTGCAGCAACCCGAATCCAGCCAGCGCAAACCCCAGCTCCAGGGGACCAGACAGCCTCAACTCACCGCCAGATCAGCAAACTTTCTGTTGCTACCCTTACACTGTATAGACCCAATGCTGCTGCTGGCCACCACCCGGTGCTGGGGGTTTTACTGGCCAAATTCAAGCTGCTACAGCTGCCGACCGAAGGTCCATCTCCCAAGCTGCTGCCAGCTCCCCTCCAGGGGAAGCAGTCCACAGTGGTGGGGAGCTCTCTTTGATATGAGCATGTTAAACCTGTTTTGTTCAAAATAACAGTTTTGGATATTAACATGTGCAAACATTTACTTTTTGTTACCTTTTATTTACATCAGTTTAGTACCGTAAGACTATTCAAACAAAGTGTTTTCTTAATATTTGCAGAAAACTGCCACTAACTACTTACAGCATGTACCTGAAGATCAGCTTCTTACAAGGTAATGGTGAATACATCTGACATTACAATGCAAGATTTCCCTCGCAGGAACTTCTCTGACAGTGATGTTAAATGTCTCTCCTAATCATTATTCTTAGAAGATGCCAACTAAATAATTCACAGCATAACCACAGCTATGAAGCTGTGTATGCCTCATTTAGCTGAAGGTATTTCAGTGACTAAGAGTGCTTTTGTACATCTTTATGACTGACACACTGTGGCTAATGAGACACACAATCAAGCCCTATGTTTAAGAACATGACCTCCAGTATCTGGTGTGGTTGGCCTCAATGGAGCTCATAGCTGTTTGCGGTTGTCAGGGCAGATCTCCACAGATTTGTGTCTTCATGGTAACACAAAAGACTAAACCACACACAGTACAGCTCAACTAGACCACCGAGTCCTCAGTGGATTCAATTTGGTGTCCTTGGTGATTTAGAGGAGACGCCCATTTGTCTGTTGTGAGAATCAGGTGAGAGGGGGCAGACCTTTTTGTTGATTCTCTGACAAGCAGTGAACTGGAAAGGTAGCTGTTTTATACCTTCAAGACAAATTCAAGGCTTAATTTAAGGATGGAGGAGAAAATGCCGTCAATCAGCACCTCTGCCACGTGTCCCTCTCGATAGAGCTGCAATTATTTGTCGATTTGTTTTTAGTAATAATTGTTTCAGTAATCTTTAAACATGTGACAATTTGATCGTTTACTTTGTCATACATGTATATTTCCAAGTTTTGGAAGGTTAATAAGACACTGCCTTGGGCTATGGGAAGTTATAACTTCAAGCATGTGTCACAAGTTCCTGACACTTTATAGGCAGAATGATTTATAGATTCATTAAATATAATAATCAACAGATCAATCAATGATGACAGCAATTATTTGTTGCAACCCTACATGAAACACTACAAGCAAGGAAAAGTAGAAGACTTCCCAAAAACATTTCTTTCATTTTGCAACTTCACTCAGAATCCAAATCCTAACTTTGCAGTAGTTTTAATTGTTATGATGAAATGTCATTCTTTTCCCATGATGCATTCACTGACCTGTTGAGATGCAGACGAGCAGGTAGGACAGAGGGGTGTGGTGAGAGTGAATGTTGCTCAACATCTCTGGCGCAGCCCATGCACTGGAGAAGGATACATGTTATGGATAGATGGATCCGTGTTCACTTCACACAGACATACATGGGCTCACTCCTGGAGAGAACAGTCTGACTATGCAGAGATATTAATATCAGGTGTTTGGGGGTTTTTTTAACGCCCTGATCAGTAGATATCCCACCTTTTAGCAGTATGAGAAATAGTGCTTTCATTCCAATTTAAAGCTGTGTGCTATCTAGCTTCTATATGTGTCTAAATACACAACCATCTCTACAATCCTACTACTATCTTTCTCTCTGGTGTTGCTTTTTTCTTTGTCACTTCTCACTGCTGTTGGCAAAGAGGCACACCTCAAAAAGCAAAGGCTTCTCTGTGTCCCCTCCCTGTATAAACACACTGTGCAACATGACCAATAGTTCCTTTTGTGACATGTAAAGTAGAGCACTTTTTATTCACGTTTCCTTGGGGTTACTTTTGTATGTGAAAATTACTTTCTTTCAATCATTGCTGATTCACTTATTATACAACTGCAGATAGGCCTATTTATATGTGAGAGTGCACACAGCAGTGTGAAATCTGGTGTTGGCCCTTCTTCTAATTGTGAAAGGCTGAGTCACAAACCCTGTCCCCACCCCAAAAAATAGTTTCTCATGATGCACAAGAATCATTGAGCCAGCAGGTTTTTCCTGTTGATATGGCTGCAGGTGCAGCCTACATGTGAGGCTCATAAGACTGACTTCTTTACAAACCTCTGAGCTGGCAAGAGAAATTCAGAAGTACATGCAAACAGCAATATGACTTATATGAGGCTCTTACTGTACAGTGGTATTTCCCTCCCCACTTAAAAATGCCATTCTCTCCCCCGGCCCTCACCCTGTCTGAACATGCCTTTCTTCTCCTGGCTGCCACAGACTGTCACTGCTGCACACACACACTCACATAACACATCATGCGGACTGTGAATAGACAATGGTTTCCCCAGTGTGGATGGATGGATAGATGGGCAAATAGACAGATGTTTTTGGATGGAAACTTACCAGATCACGGCCCATGGCCCAGTCAGCAGGGAGTGCACCATAGACACAGAGAGGTTCCTCCACTTCCAGGAGCGAAAGTCATCCTGCTTCACCACTTTGGGCACATGCAGCCTTTGCAGCAACCTGTGGGTCACTCTGAAAATCAGGGAGAACACCAGCACTGACAGGCCTGGGTGACGCTTCAGCACAGAAACCAGGGCCTCCATCCTCTCCTCCTCACCCCGTGCACACCCTCTGTCTCTGGGCTCTTCTCAGTCGCTTTTACAGCCACCTCCCTTTGTACTTTCCCACTGTTGTCTGTTTGACGATCCTGTCAACGTCCTCTCAGCTCGGTGATGAACAGATATGTGCGGTATGAGATGGGAGTGTTCTCCAGGATCCTCTACTCTTATTGAAGTTTTTCTTAAGTCCGCGAAGCTGATGCTGCAGCCTTTTCCTTCTCAAGATTTCAGCCTGTGGAGGAGGACTTGGAGGGGATTCCCGTAACACCTCATTCCAATGAGACTGCGTTTGTCCTCACGCAGCGCCTTGCGATGTTATTGCCGCTCGCAGCCCGCCCGCCTGTGCAGTATGGAGAGGCAGCGGGGTGGGTGGTGCTTTTACTACTGCTGCGCCCTTTAACCAGAAAAACAAGGAGGGGCCGAGACAACGATCACGTTACACAAGTAACTGAATCATAAATCAGGCCATGCGAAACCTGATTTTGGGCAAGCATGTCCTAAAAGACCAACATTCACATGTTAAATAGCCGCATACTAACCATAACTTTTGTTGCTACTTGCGCCACGCCGTGCGTAATGGCACTGAACTCCTTTAACAACAATAACAACAATATTAGCTCTAGTAAGTATCTTGAAAGAAGGGTGTGTTTCTTTTGTCATTGGCCTAAAAAGCTATAGAGGAACTAACAATTTATAAGCCTGCGGAATTTGTTATTTAGAGCAAGAAAATCTGTTGACACTATGCCAGTAGTAAATAGGACAAGGCCATTCAGATCATTTAAGTAAAGCAAGGCCACAAAGTTAAAAAGCTCCACTACAAGCAAAAGTCTTGGATTCCAAATTTTACCAAAGCAGAGATGTATTATATCAAAATGTCCTGAAGTATCAAAATAAAAGTTCTAATTTCACAGAATATGCCTACTTCAGAGTGTTATAATTTTGTATTATTGTATTGTTATGAACCTCAAAGTCAGAAAAGAAAGAGCTAAATGCTGAGAAGAAGTACAAAGTAGCATCAAATGGAAATACTTAAAGGAGCAGTGTGTAGGATTTAGTGGCATCCAGCAGCGAGGATTGCAGATTGCATCCAGCTGAAACTTCTCCCTTGTGCCATGAGTGAACTCCCGGTTAGGATTCCCTCAGCGTTCATCGTTCACGAGGATTAAACTGGGAGCAGAGGGTTCTTGCTCTCCAACACAAATGGTGATTTAAAGCGGTAACAATACTGAATAAAGCAGTTTCATGTTAGAAATCAGTGTTTTTTCCAATGCTGTCATCACAGAGGGGCTGCTTACTACAGTGACCAATGCAAAGATGCGAATTGCCCTATCTGTTTGATATGTTCATTCTGGGTTTCTGTGGAAACATGGTGGTGCAACATGGCAGACTTGAGGACCTGCTCATTCTATGGTAATGAAAACACATTTTTTATTTTCAGGTGATTATACACTAAAGATACCAATAAGTACCAATACCTCAAATATGTGCTTGTGTAAACCTCCTCCACCCAGGCCTTAAGAATAAGGCCCTTGATTGGTTTTGTTTATTTTGTACTGGGTAATTTTCACTGTTTAGGGTGTGGTGTACCCCAAGGGCTAATCCTAGGTCCTCTTTAATTTTAAGTTGAATGCTGCAACTGGGCCACATGTTTTATAAATTTGGCATAAAGTCCCAGGTTAATGGTGATAATACACACCAGTATTTCTCTTCAAAACAGATTGCTCTGTTAATGTAGTCAGACATTCAAGATGACTTTCTGGACCTTTTGTTTTACAAGTTTGGTCTTTCTCATGTTTGATATCTTGAGAAAATAGTATATGCTTTGATCTTCTCTGAACTACTGCTGATCTCATTAGTCTGACATAGCCCAGAGGTCGTTTGCTTAACTTTGTCTCATTCAAAACACTCCTGCTATGATTTTAACTAAATATGGTATCAAACTGATAACTATCAAGTTCGCCATTCAATTATTGTCATCTTTTTTCTTTTGCTTTATTACAATTGTTTCTTACTCCTTTGACCACAGCACTGCATAAAGACATTGGCCTCAAAATATAACATACATTAGAATATCGAATATAGGATTGAACTTCTTTTTAGGTAAATTGGTGGCACTATCAGCAGTAAGAACTGTGAATATAGCAACGATTTAAAATATAAACATGCACGTCCTTGTCATGTTTGGAACAAAACAATGAAATGGTATGTTAAACAGGCAGCCTATGTAACTAACGCCCCCCTTCCTTGGCCATAACTCTTTCCATAAACAGCATGGCTCTCATTCCCTGCAGCTGGCCTCTCTGCAGCCCAGTGGGGGAAAAGGAAGTGAGTAAGTGAGTAAAACTCATCAGGAACAGTTCAGACCCTCCACACACACACACACATTACCACCTGAACCAAAGCTGTATCTGTGAAATACAAACCCACACACAAGGAGTTTACTTTTCCTTACCTGATGAATGTTTTCATCTTATTCACAAAGTGATGTATTTCTTTTTTTCTGTTCATTTGTTCCATTTTTTTATGCATGTTTGTCTTATTTCCTTTGAAATAAAATGTGTTTTGATCATATGTTGCTTTCTCACATCTGTTGCACACTGTCTAATTAATTTCATGAACTGTAACACAGAGAAATATGTAATTAAAGACTGTCTGTTATGGGGGTATACAACTGAAACACGAGCCAGATTAACTCAGCTAGCTGTGTTCTCACTGTACCTCAATGATGATAGCTGCACTTGTGGTCATAGCATATTTTTGCACAAATAATGATAACATATGTTTTAATGTATCATATCATAGATATAAGTGTTTTTCTTTTGGGGATTTAAGAGTAGTGTGATTCTGGCTAGGGACCTCTGGTGCATGCAGTGGTTGAATGTAACGTAGCACATTTACTCAAGTACTCTACTTGAGTATTTCCATTTAATGCAACTTTATACTTACACTCCCCTACGTTTTGAAATTCAATATAAGGGCGGCAGTAGCTCAGTCCATAGGGACTTGGGTTGGGAACCGGAGGGTCACCTATTCAAGTCCCCGTCTGGACCAAAATGTGGAGCATGGATTGGTAGCTGGAGAGGTGCCAGTTCACCTCCTGGGCACTGCCGAGGTGCCCTTGAGCAAGGCACTAAACCCCCCCACCGCTTGGAGCGCCTGTCATGGGCAGCCCCACTCTGACATCTCTCCACTTAGTGCATGTATAGGTCCTGTTTGTGCATGTGTGTGTGTTCGGACCTGTGTGTAATTGACAACAGAGTGAAAAATTGAATTTCCCCTCGGGGATTAATAAAGTATAAAATTTAAATTAAATTAATGTAGTAGCCTGTACATGATCATTGGTGGATTGTGAGACAATGAGCCCCTGGGCACAGAATTGCAAAAGACCCCACCACCTAGTAGGAGCAAGACACAGACTTTGTAGTTGTTTTGTGTCCCTTTGTAGTAATCTGTGATTATTTGAGGCAAATTTTGTCTTTTCTGGTTGTTATATGTCTCTTGTTAGTCCTTTTGTGTGTCCTTGTGGTTGTTTTGTATCTCTTTGATGCCATTTTATGTCTTATTCAGGTCAGTTTGTGTGTCCTTGAGGTCATTTTGTGTCTTTCTGAGGCAATTTTGTGTCTTTTTGGTCATTTTGTGTTTCTTTGAGGCAAATTTTGTCTTTTCTGGTTGCTTTATGTCCCTTGTCAGTCCCTTTGTGTGTCCTTGTGGTTGTTTTGTATCTCTTTGATGCCATTTTATGTCTTATTCAGGAAAGTTTGTGTGTCCTTGAGGTCATTTTGTGTCTTTCTGAGGCAATTTTGTGTCTTTTTTTTGTACATTTTGTGTTTATTTGAGGCAATTTTGTGTCTTTTTTGGTCATTTTGTGTGTTCTTGTGGTTGTTGTGTGTCTCTGTGATTGTTTTGATTCTCCTCTTGGTCAGTACAAGTTAATTTGAGTGACATTTTGCATTAGAAGGCCAGACACTTTTGGCCCCTGGGGCTGTCCCTGGTAGGCCCATTCAGAAATCCATTTATGCACATGATTCCAAAATGGGCCATTCTACATAATGAGTATTTCTACTTTTGGAATTTAAATTAAATGTGATACTAGTATTAGTCAAGTAAAAAATGTGAATGCAGGACTTACTTATAACAGAGTAATTTTACACTGTCGTATTGCTACTTTGACTTAAGTAAAATATCTAAATACTCTTCCATCACTGACAATATACCTATAATGCCTGGCTACAGTGTTGATAGACACGGCCCTGCCCCCTGTAGGCTATTTTATGAAGAACATCACTAGATGGCAGCAAACCCACATGTGAAGAGCAAGAAGACTGCTTGTGTTTTCAACTCAGTGGCTCAAATGTTCTGTGTCAAGCCACTTGGGGGCATCCCTCCCCAAAAACCTCCAGGAAGACTGACCTCAATGGAGTGGTGATTGTTGAAGTGTGCCAGGCATTTCCCTGTGATCAATAAAGCTGCAGTTCCTTTCATAAAGTCATTCCAAGGCAGTCAAGTTACACAGCTACACGTGAATTTATGTGTCTGAGAGAGAAAACCAAAAAGTATGAGAGAATAATCTTACGAAACAAATGGACTAATCAATAGGTCTAATGGTCCAAGTGTGAAACTTGAGGCATGAAACATGAACCATATGATTAATCTACTTATATCAGTTGAGCAGGGCTCTCTGTAACAAAACACCCTGAGGTTAGAGAGAGAAATGTAACCTAATGCCATTTCTTGTGTTTCCCGGTGCCTCGCCATAGTTATTGAGTTGTACGGTGAGAGAATGAGAGCTTTTTGCTCTCATAGTTTCATCACAGAAACCTGCAACTACTCACAGCTTCAGGTTTCTAAAGAAACAGCTCAGGATTTCTGACAGACGATGCAAAAGGGTTCATATTATCGTAGCTCCTGTTGTCGTTGCACTGGGGCCACAGCAAACACCAGAGAGAGCTGAGCTGGTCGGAGGGTCTCCTGGTACCATGTGATGTGTTTGAAACGGGAACCTTTGTGCACTGGCTCAGCACTGAACCGTATTGATCTTGGGGTGATTTTTCTTTCCCTTGAGGGCTGTTTAGAGATGGCTACTGGGGAGACTGAAATTCTTCAAGAGAGAAAATCTACAGGTTAATTGATTTCTAGCAAGTGCATCATAAAAGGCCAAACAAAAACAGGTTGGTCTTGGTCAGAGGAGGATTTAGTGTCATTCTTGGGCCATGGAACAGCAATTTTCTACTGGCTAGTTGGAGTAAAATGAGGTTTACTATTATTTCCATAGATATTTTTTTATTTTAAAATGTATTGACATTGATTAAATTAATAAATTATGTCCACAATGTGTTTGTAGCCCTATTTTCTCATGT